GTTAGGTGGTTAGGTGGTTGTCCTGCATCTTCAATAAACAAGCTACAGGTAGTCCAAAATGCAGCGGCTAGAGTCCTTACGAAAATATTAAAGTTCCTTATCAGTTACAAAATATTATTACTTGCCTATAAGGCCCTTATTGGGTTAGCTCCTGCGTACCTAACTAGTCTTCTACCATGCTACAATCCATCACGCTCCCTAAGGTCACAAAACCCTGGACTTTTGGTAGTACCTGGCAAAGTCCATAGCAAAGTCCACTAAACGAGGTATAGCCTTTTCGCATTTGGCTCCCAAACTCTGGATTAGCCTTCCTGATAATGTTTGGGGTTCAGACACACCCTCTCTGTTTAAATCTAGATTAAAGACACATCTCTTTGGCCAAGCATTCAAATAATGCATCTCAATCTTGTACTGCAGTAATATCTGATCAAATGCACATTATTATTCTTTCACGAGTTCACGCTTGCATATAAATTAGCTGAAGTATGGTAATGCATATTTGGCGTGCTGTCCGGGGAAGGGCTCCGAGCTCGGGAATGGCCCGAACCTAGAGTACCCCCCAAAAAGCAATTGAGCAAAGGACAGCCGCCAGACTGAAGAACCCCCCCAAAATAAGCACCGAGAACTGGCGGGGGCTGATGTTTTGAGAAGTCACCTGGTTGGTGAGCCGGAAGAGCCTACATACTCTGGGGTGAGCAATTTATGCGTTGGAAGGGTAGACCCTACCGGCTGTTGGTATTGGACTACATGGTTTGGGGCGCCCGGTCGGGAGGGCTCGAGCCGATGCTCAACGGGAGCTCACGTCGTTGGAAAGGGTGAGCCCTACCGGCCGATGGGGGAGGAGCAGCGTGATTGTGTAACCCTACTGGCTGACAGGCCCCTGCTAATCAGTGGGCAAAAATGGCTGACCGAGAGGGCCCATGAAGCCTCCAACTGGAGATCAAGACTCAGGACGACGGACGTGTGGGTCCGCCCCGACGGCCGACGGGAGCTCAATACTCACGGCATTGAACGGGTGAGCCTCGCCGACCGTAGGATGGAAAATGTAAAGTTGTCTGGCCAGGAGGCTCTCGCCAACATCCGACGGGAGCTCAATACTCACGGCATCGAACGGGTAAGCCTCGCTGACTGTAGGATGGAAAAAGTGGAGTTTTCTTTTTTTGTCGGCAGGTTGAAGCGATCCCAGTAACGTCATATTTAGGCACTGGAACGTGAATTGTACCAGGAGAACCCCGCCAAAAAAAAAAAAGTTTGTGTTTTACAGTATTGAAAAGCTAGCCAAGTGGCAAGTCGGCTAGAGACTTGGAGAGAGGTGCCTAGCAATACTCACGTCACATGTGAATTAGGTTGCTAGCTGCACTCGGTCGATAATAATGGTTTCTTTTATGATAAACCTAGTTGTTAGTTTGTACCTATAATCGTTAATCATTTAGGTACATAGTTGACCTTATTTTCTCGAAACGCAATCTTTTTCATGCGTTTATCTGAGTGAAATGTGTAGTTTAAAATACAGGACAAAATGCTAGCGAAAATTCAGAAAATCTGAGTAATTTGTGTATTCTACAGTTTGCGTCATGGTTACAAAATGACATCAACATCCTTTTGTCACAAGGTTGTTTCGCAACAAAACGACCTGCCTTTTAGCGGCCTTACCTAAAAATTAATTTGCAACACGGCTTGCGTCGCTAGAGGAAGCGGCCTCGCGCTAGCGTCTGCTGGAGGCCCGGCTGCCTACGAAGCTGTGGCCAGAAGAGCCGCGGTGAAAGGTTGAGCCGAAGTGGGAAGCAAGTGAGGCTTTGCTGCGGTGAGATCTGGGGCGCGGCCCAGGCTTTGCTATACGTTTGATTGCATCATATAATAATTGCTGTTAATTGTGTTCATCGTCTGTTTGTTTACGTCTTTAATTGATTTTTCCGTACATTTCTGCAATATGTACATTAACTTACAGTCACCACTGATAAGCTACCACTAAATATTGTAGAAACTTAATTTGCTGTAAAGTTGCTTTGCAACGATTTGTATCATGAAAAGCGCTATACAAATAAACTTGAATTGAACTGAATCTATTTTATCAGTGAAGAAATTCATAAAGTCATTACTATTAAACTGTGAGGGAATATTTAGATCGGGTGGCGTCTGGTTATTTGTTCATCTATCCACTGTACTAAATAAAAACCTTGGATTGTTTTGGTTAGTTTCTATGAGTTTGTGGATATGCTCGATCCTGGCAGCTTTTAGAGCCTGTCTATAGCTGGACATACTGTTTTTCCATGCAATCATTGGAGAGATCACTGGAGAGTCACTAATTATCTCATTAACTTTAACTCTTTGAGGACTTGGGATTTGACTCCAGACTTGCTTGTCACTTAAAGGAATGACTTGGTCTCACCTCTGGTGAAATCAGCTGGCTGATCGTTCATGGGTGGAATAAACATATGGCAGGACTTTTACTTTTGGACCCCTGGACTTTCGACCTCTGGTTGAAGCCTTACTGTAAACATTCAGTCATGGTGTATTCATCTGACAATACTTATGCATAAATTAGTGTGATCCCTCAAACTTTTCAGAAATGCCAGCCACTCTGGTTCTTCCTTGTAAATGACTCTCCTGGCCACCAGGTGGTGCTATCCTCTGGTGATACACTAATCATGTTGCCTAAGCAGATTTGTATCATCCCTGATTTGCCTTATTTATATTTGCCTGTTTGATGTAGTCAGTCTTGAGTCCTTACTGCATTGTGAGCTGAAGTTCTCTTAAAAAATTGCTAGTAAATTTCACAAAGCATTACAAAGAAATGGCAGGTATCAATTCTGAATTTTCGAAGTAGAAAGACTGAAATAGTATTTTCTTGTCAAATGAATCTTTGTTTCATTGACAGTTTTAGAAATCTTAGAAAGTCATACTGTATTTAAAGTGATAGTTTGCATCTGTTGATTTTGATGTGGTGTAATGCTCTACTTAACAAGTGATTGATGTTTTTTTTTTTGAGTTTAGATATGGAAATTGTCTTTTGTATCAGTGAATATAGTGGTTTAAGCAAATTGAGTTGTGTTTTAAGCAAATTCAGTAGTTTTATATGAGCCTGACTTCTATAATTTTTGCCACTACTGACTCCAGTTTCACAACCAACGGTCCACCATAAACCATGCATTTGAGTAGCATTTGCTCTTTTCTTCCAGCCTTTATTAATTGTTTCTTTTTCAATGTGTTTTGCTTAGAATCTGACTTCAGCTTGAAGGGAGATTACTTATTGGGTGGCCTTTTTGCTTTACACGAAGTTCAACATGCAACTCCTTTGTCCTCCCCAGAAGCCATTCAATGTTTAAGGTAAGTAAGCATCTTTTTGCTGCAGTATTTTGTTTCAAGTCACATTTCTAAAACAAAGATTTGATTAAGCTCTGTTCACTTAACTGATATTTTCTAGATACACTTTCTCAAAATCTGGCTATCAGATGTTGCAAGTGATGAGGTTTGCTATTGAGGAGATTAATAACTCCACAACTCTTCTGCCCAACGTTTCTCTGGGATATGAGATTTTTGACCACTGTACTGACTCCAAAAATTTCCATTCAGTCTTCAGTTTTATCTCGAATAATGGCTTAATAAAATCTAAAGAAAAACTCAACAACTATCAGCCTAAAGTGATTGCCTTAACAGGGCCATATGGAAGCACAAGCACTATTGCCATTGCACCATTAATAACAATGGATGTTATACCATTGGTAAATTCTTCTTCTTTTTTTTCAAATTGTTTACTTCCTTTTGTTCAGGACTACCAATTTACTATATAATGCTAATCAATTGGAATGTTTTCTATCCTTTCAAAGGTGAATTATGGAGCTTCTAGCTATGCATTAAGCAATAAACGTATGTATCCTTCCTTTATAAGAACAATCATTCACCTAACATTGATTAATTGTAATAGCACATTTTCCCATTCCATTAAGGTTCCATTCTCAAACTGCTCTGTGGAGTGCAAAGAGGGATTTTCGAGGGAACCTAATGGATATCATAGTTGCTGTTTTCTGTGTAAAAAGTGTCCACATAACAGCTACGTGAATTATTCTTGTGAGTATTTTAAGCAATCGATGACAAAACAGGTATTTTATCAGTCCGTGCTGTCACTACACAAGGGAAAGATAAGGGAAGATAACATAAAGTTTAGCATGTACAGGGTGGGGAATAATTTAGAGAATACATTTAAATATTTGATAGTTGTTATAGTAGACCATAATAGCTGTATATATAAACCCCAACCCCAAATGATTTGAATAATTAAAATGATATCCGAGATGTATTTTGCATAATCTGTTTTTAAATATGGTGTCAATATACTTCAAAATGTAAATGTGCATGTTTGTACAATTTGTACAATATTATTAATGGAATTGTAAAAAAAAAAAATCATAATTACTAAAAAACTGTATCATTTTATTTTGATCTAACTTTAAATGTTGGAATATTTTTTTACCTTACAAAATTAAGTGAATTACTGTGTTTACAAATCTACCATTAATAAATACTGTATACTGTACGTTTTATGAACACTTTTAATAACCAACATAAAGTAAATTCACTATCAACAACTCTCGCTTGCCATGGCATAACAATGGTCCTGTACGTTATCTTTTTGCTGAGTATTTATCTAAACATTCACCTAACATTGATTAATTGTAATAGCACATTTTCCCATTCCATTAAGGTTCCATTCTCAAACTGTTCTGTGGAGTGCAAAGAGGGATTTTCGAGGGAACCTAATGGATATCATAGTTGCTGTTTTCTGTGTAAAAAGTGTCCACATAACAGCTATGTGAATTATTCTTGTGAGTATTTTAAGCAATCGATGACAAAACAGGTATTTTATCAGTCCATGCTGTCACTACACAAGGGAAAGATAAGGGAAGATAACATCAAGTTTAGCATGTACAGGGTGGGGAATAATTTAGAGAATACATTTAAATATTTGATAGTTGTTATAGTAGACCATAATAGCTGTATATATAAACCCCAACCCCAAATGATTTGAATAATTAAAATGATATCCGAGATGTATTTTGCATAATCTGTTTTTAAATATGGTGTCAATATACTTCAAAATGTAAATGTGCATGTTTGTACAATTTGTACAATATTATTAATGGAATTGTAAAAAAAAAAAAATCATAATTACTAAAAAACTGTATCATTTTATTTTGATCTAACTTTAAATGTTGGAATATTTTGTTTACCTTACAAAATTAAGTGAATTATTGTGTTTACAAATCTACCATTAATAAATACTGTATACTGTACGTTTTATGAACACTTTTAATAACCAACATAAAGTAAATTTATATATGAAAATGACAATAAACAAACAAACAGCAAATAAATGGATAACTTCAAAGAAGTTCAGATGGAATAGATATCACAAAGATGAAATGTCAGAACGGATAGCTACCAAATGTGTTAGTATTTGGTGCCAAGTTCAAGAAGAAAAAATGATGAAGGGATATTTTACAACATTGTCTTCTTTTGTGCTGTCTCCCATTATACAGTATTATACAGCATTATATGGTGTTATGCAGAGATAATCTGTTGAACCTTTTGTACTGTTTAAACTTCATGACCCCAAATGTCTGATTTTGGCTGTATTACATTCTCATATTATTTTGCTGTTTTTCAGGGGACCCCTATACCTGTTCTCCGTGTGCAGAGAGCGAATGGTCTGATGAGGGCAGTACGACATGTAAGAACCGTTCTGTTGTCTATCTTGAGGTCACAGAAATCCTCTCCATCATTGTCATGGCTTCTGCCACATGCCTAATAATTCTCCTTATTGCCATATTTTGCCTTTTTGCTCATAATTACAACACACCAGTGGTAAAGTCTGCTGGTGGCAGCATGTGTTTCCTCATGTTGGCGTGTTTGATAATGTCTACAATAAGTGTGTTCTTTTTCTTTGGAAAACCCTCATCTGTATTCTGCATCCTGAGAAATGTTGCATTTGCATTTTTCTTCACTATTTTTCTCTCCTGTATGGCTGTCCGTTCCTTTCAAATTGTTTGTGTCTTCAAAATAGCTGCCAAGTTCCCTAACATTCACAGCATTTGGGTAAAGCACAACGGACAGTGGCTCTTTGTTGGATTTTTTTCTGTCATTCATTTAATTTCTTGTATACTATGGATGACTGTCTCAACTCCCAAACCCTCCAGGGACTCATCAACTTTTAAAGACCTGACTATACTCAGCTGTGAAATGGGGAACACTGCAACTGTTAGCGTAGTTGTGTTTATAGTTTGGTTTCTTGGATTCCTGTGTCTCTTATTTTCTTACATGGGAAGAGATCTGCCAAAAAATTACAATGAGGCCAAATCAATAACTTTCAGTCTCATTTTGTACAATATGAGCTGGATTGTTTATTTCACAACATTCCTCATTCTCAAATCCAAATACATCCAGCTTGTTAATGCGATGACACAGCTTTCTAGTATATATGGAATTCTCTTCAGTTACTTCATACCGAAATCTTACATTATAATATTCCAGCCGCAAAAGAACACTGCTGCATATTTTCAAACATCTATTCAGAATTACACCCAAACTATTAGTAGGACTTAGCACAGATTCATTTAGGGGTGAGTGAACTGAGAAAATGGGCCTACTTTAAATATTTCTATATACTGTATATGGGCCATTCTACAGAGTTGGAAACGTCTTGAAACTGTTTTTTTCCCCCAAAAAATTGTATGTATGCAAATTGTATAATATCCACACATTTCTAATAATTGTGCAGTTAATTCTCATATTGTATTTTCAGAAAATTTTGGAATATTTGTCCTCTCCCCAAATTTGACACTACCAAAACACATTAATAATAAATATATATATATAGCTATATTTTTCAGAGGTGAATCTATAACAATTAAAATGTAACAATATTTCAAGTGTAATTTATGAGATTTGTTGTATTTTGAATCCAGTTCTTCTTTGTAAAAGGCAAAAGGGTGATCATACTGATTTCGAAGTTAAGGATTCATTAGTTTGAATATACATTGAACCAAAAACTATCAAAACATCTTAGTTGATAATTCAGTATACTTTTTTTTTGACAAAACATCCCATGATTCGGTAGTGACAGCACATTTTCGGTAGTGACAGTAATGCTTTGGTAGCAACCACATCACATTACAGAATTTTAACTTACATATTAAAACACTACTAAAACATACTAAAATAGAAAAAAAAGCATAACTGTACTAAAATATTGTTTATTTCCCCCAAATATGAGGATTATGTGTCACTACCGAAACTCCCCCTAATGTTTCGGTAGTGATAATTTTACATATTTTGAACCTAGCTCAAAGATGCTAATCAGCACATGGTTAGCTCGCACAGTTCTGAACAGTGGTATACATATAAAGGACACAGGAATATTTACTGATTATACATTTATGGGTTTAGTTAAAATCAGTCTTTAAAGCTGATGATTAGATGCTAGTATTAAATGAACACATGTATCCTTTTATTTAGCTGTCCTTTTTAAACATTTCCATAAATGCTTTCATATCCATTGCCATACTGGTTCTTCAGATCCACTTATTACACGTCTCATTTGTATCTGTTGTTATGTCTGTTTTTGTTGGTGCTGTACTGTTGAGAAAAAGCAGTCACATTGAAAACGCAAAATGTTTTAATACACTGTAACAAAGCAGCTGCTGCCGATGTGCCGTTAGACAATTCACTTCATCATTGCCTAAATGGTGATTAAATTTTAAAAAAAAGTTCAGCCTGTCATTATTATATTTTTTCACTCTCATTTTGTTACAAACATGCAATTCTTTCTTCTGTGAAAGTCAAAAGAAGATCCTTTTTACATTCTATTAACAGTGATTTACCAGGTATATAGATACTGTAGATGAGGATTCATATTTCATATTTTTAACCACAGATTAGTAGTAGAAATATTTATTTGATTCACGGTCATTTAACGTTACAGACCATTGGATATTTGTACTTTAATACACACAGTTCTTCTATTGTATAGATCATGTTGGATCCTTTTTACATTCTATTAACAGTGATTTACCAGGTATATAGATACTGTAGATGAGGATTCATATTTCATATTTTTAACATATTTATAATATATTATATAATATATTCAGTGATAATTGGATTTTGTAGATTAATATTATTAATGAACCCAGTACATGTCTACTTAGCTTGAATGCTAACCAAACACACCTGAACATTAAATTAAAGTGTTCAGATTTATTCGGAAATGGGATATTTAGAACTGGTACTAAAGTCTGCTGGACACTGGACCTTCAGGAGTGGAGCTGAAGAGCACAGCTTAGTTTCCCGCCAGTGCTCCATTTGGCCAACTGGTGGCGTAATTCGATATATTTTTCAAAGTCAGAATGTTCCAGTGAAAATATGCACATTTTCTTTTCTATAATCTTCCTGGCTGAGGCAACAAAGGTGTAGTTTCCAACCACATAGGCAACGAGAACGTGTTAAAGGGGTCATATGATGCGATTTCAATTTTTCCTTTCTCTTTGGAGTGTTACAAGCTCATGGTGCATAAAGAAGATCTGTAAAGTTGCAAAGACTAAAGTCTCAAATCCAAAGAGATATTCTTTATAAAAGTTAAGCGTCAACCACGCCTACCTAAAACGGCTCGTTCTAACACGCCCCCACATGTCTACGTCACGATGTGGGAAGATTTGCATAACGCCTCCCAAATGTTCACACAAAGAAAGAAGGTAGTATCTCGCTGTAGTATTGCTGTTTCTGCCGCCGCCATGTCGTGAAGGAGCTGTGTTTCATTGTAAAAGCAAAACTACTTTGTTTGGCCTTCCAAAAGAGGATGATATGGATCGCCGGATCGGCTTTCACAGTGGATGAAGCGGAGTCCAGCCCGGGCTCGTCACATGTTGTTGCCGCAAGCCTCCTTCGTCGAATCCGCCGGCCGCACTGTCTCAAGCCCGCCGCCCTCCACTCACTCTAGCCCTCCGTGTGTTTTGTTGTGAAAGCAAAACTACTTTGTTTTGTCTTCCAAAAGAGGACATGACTAGAAATCAGTGGTTAAGTTGTATTTACAACACTGTTCCAGAACAGTTCAACCCAAATATTCAGATGTGTCCAGTGCATTTTATGGAGGACTGTTTCCTGATCCTGGTAGAATAGACTACAATGCCGGCTGTTCTGACTCACAGCCTGTAAGTACGTTTTCATATTTAAAGGATTTGCCACTGACGATTCAAACGTGAGTTTTGAGCAGTGTAGAGTAGCACTTGTTGTTTGTCATTTCTCCCATCACAAATGCAGACATGGTTTTATGCTTACGTGGCGCGATGCAACGTAATGTGTAAAAAGACAGTATAAATCATTATAATCCTAATTATGTCCCCACTGGATGCAACAAATGCCTCGTTTTTAATGGGTTTTAATGTTTTTGTCTCGTAGCTCCGGCCAGACTGGTCATCTGAAAACGGTGGCAGACTTCGATCGGCTCCTCCCCATCTTTCAGCGCATTCTTTTTCAATCCGCAGACCGTAGCGGCGCAGAGCAAGAAACAGAGGACAAGTGTGTGTTTATCGATAGATATGGCGTTATTTTAATGGCAAATGTCAAGAGAGCCCATTATTGTAGCGCGAAAGCACATGAATACAGATACAGATACACGCTGCTCTCGCCCAGAGAGTGTGCGCGCACTTAAAACGTGTCTCTCCTCTCACTCAAACTGTCCTGTGCACTCGCAAATCTCTATGTGCTCATGCGCTAGATATTAATTATTTTCGCACCTGAATTAAACATTGTCAAATGTTATCAACCAATCAGATTTCAAAGATGGATATTGTAATTTCTTTATAATTTATTACTACTAAGTCATAATAATCAAATATTAGAAATGAATGGGGTGCTTGGATTATTTGTAAATAACCTAATTTAACAGTTTGGTCAAACCCCTCTGAGCGATTTATCTAAACACAAACAAAAAAGTAGGCCTATATGATTCTTAAAGTTCATGTGGTCATATAGCCTATTGTGCACTTGGATTGAAATAAATAAATTATTATTAAATAAATAATAATCTTCTGATTAAGGACAGATTTAGACAAGGGTCAGATGCACTATTCCCTATACTTATTTATATACCTGAATTTCCGATATTTGTCATTACATTACTACATTATATTCTATGGGTTTAATGCATTTGCAGACAATGTAATTACATGTAACTGTCATATAACTGTATATTCACTGTTTGAGAGTGCCATTGAATGTGTAGCTAATATAAAGTGGGTTATCATGAAAAAAAAATCTAACTGAAAACAAACACTGGATTAAAAAAAAATAAAAAATCCCAATAAATTTCCAAATAGATGCACATATCTTGCATCATTTATGTCTAATTTTGCATTTGATGTTGATTTGATAGGAATTGTTACTATTGCTATTATACCAACTGAGAATTTATTGCAATGATTTTAAATTCAGTTGAGGTATCTGACATATTATGACATAACATTGATCTTTTATATAAAGTCTTTAGAGCCATAGGCTATAATATGTTGTTTTTAGATAAACTGCTCAGACCAACCAGTTGGACAGAGGTTATTTATATGTACAAATCATCCAAGCACCCAATTCCTAGCCATTTCTAATGTAGGCCACATTTCATTAACATTGCTAAATATTATTAAACTGGAAATAAATTAAAGATCCATCTTTGATTCTCAAAAGAATTCCAGGCTCAGTTCCCTCTCAGCCAATTAGATTTCACATATATTTTCATCGGTCAGTTGTGGAGGTCTGATTGTTTAAAGCTTTATTTATATAGCGCAGTAAGTGTTTACAACGTATTTTACAGAGAGATGCATATGTGCATTCACAGAAAAGAAAATACAAACATAAAAGAGATAAAGTAGTAAAACAAAGTGCAATAACCAGTTTATGTTAAAACAAAAATACAACAATAAAAAAAATCAAGGAAAGGCCTTTAATGAACAAATCTGTTTTGAGATACTTTATAAAAGTGCATGATGATAACTTTTGACAACGTTTAATTCAGGTGCGAAAATAATTAATATCTAGCGCATGAGCACATAGAGATTTGCGAGTGCACAGGACAGTTTGAGTGAGAGGAGAGACACGTTTTAAGTGCGCGCACACTCTCTGGGCGAGAGCAGCGTGTATCTGAGCGCCCGCGTCCAAAACCGCGAGAGCAAAGGAGATCCGCGTGCGAGCGGGGCGATTCTAAGATTTTCGTTTTAGGGGGGCTCAGCCCCCAATGAGGGTATAATAATAAAAAATAATAGTAAACATATAAATAATAATAAAAAAAAAGATTGACTAATAGGGTAAGGTGGTAAACTAAACTTGTTGCATTTTGCAACTTATTGTATTCCACTGTACTGCATAGATAGGTATAACATTTAGGTATAACATTTGAGTACTGAATAAGCCATACAAGTCTTCCTGAATCCTGATCTCTCTCTCTCTCTCACACACACACACACGTTTACTTCGCTATCTAAATGGGGACATTCCATAGGCGTAATGGTTTTTAATCTGTACAAAGTGTATATTCTATCACCCTAAACCTAAACCTA